GTATTCATCAACATGACACATTGTTATTTATTATTGTATTCGTTAATAGTTAACAACTATTTTAACGATCGACAAAATGTCGAATATCAAAACACAATTAAAAAAATATTCTAAACAATAACAACAAAATAGTATATTAAGTAATACTCTCTCTTTGTAAACATCAACATCAATAATAACATAGTTTTAATCGAGAACAATAAATAGTATCCATCATATCATAATAATAATAGTATATATATATATTTATAATAATAATAATGAATAAATCATCATCATCATCAACATCTAATAATCGGAACGCTTCACCATCAAATAGTAATACAAGTCAGAGTGTAAGTGGAGGTGGTGGATTATTAGGAAATAATAGTCATTTATTATCAACAAATTCAATATTAAGTACATCATTTACAAAAAGTAAATCATTTGATATTGGTGATTCTAAATTAAGTGATGATATTTTAAATACACAAAATAAATTTAATACAATACATCAATCTTCATCAGATTTAAATAAATTAAAAAATAATAATTCAAATAATATTTCAAATAATAATATAAATAATAATAATAATATAAATAATAGATCAAATAATAATTTTTTAAATTTATTTAAAAGATCAAATAGTAATGATTTAAATAATGATTTAAATTTTAATGAACAAATTCAAACATCATCACTTTCCTATTATGAACAATGGTATGAATATGATTTAAAAAGAAGAGAATTAAAATTTAATATTAAAAATTCTTTAAAATTAATTCAAAATAGATTTTCATATAAAAGAGAAATTGGTTTTGATCATTTAATTCAATTAATTACAAATTTAGAATTAAATTTAATTGATAAAGATATGTTTACTTTAATACATAAAAAATTAGATCCAGATACAAATAGTATGTTTTTTTTAATTTTAATTTATTTACTATTTTATTATTTTAATTAATTTAATATTTTTCTTAATATTTTAATTTAATTTTTAAAAGTAATTGCTGGAATGATAACATATTTACAATTTAATAATAATTATGAAATATCACCAATAACAAGTAATGAAATATATAAATGTTTACTTGTAATAGAAGGATGTTGTTTAATAAGTAATTCATGTTCAAATTCATTAGTTTCCATAAATGGAATTAAAATAATATTAAAAATATTATCAGATATGAAAAATGATCAAGATGAAATATGGGATGAAATTAGATTAACATGTTTAGATACAATACAATCATGTTTACATAATTGTAATCAAGGTGTTTATTCATTTTGTGAAGATTCAAGTAGTGGACCTGATGTTATTTGTACCATTTTAAGAAATAGAGATTTACCTAAATTATTAAGATCTAAATGTGTTGAATTTTTTTGTATTTTATTTAAATTATTAGATTTAAATGAAAATGATCATTATTTATTATTAAAAACTTCAGAAAGAATTAAAGTTTTTTTAGGAAATGTTTTAACTAAAAATTTATTAGATTTATGGAAAGATTTAAATAATGAAAATATTATTAATGTTATTAAATGTGATGAATTTATTGATTTAATTGATGAGAGATTTTAATATTTTTAATTGTAATAATAATTGTAATTGTAATTGTAATATTTATTAAAATTAATTAAAATAATAATAATAATTAAATAAAATTATTATTATTATTAATTTGATCAAATTCATATAAATTATTTTTAAATGTTTGAATTAAA